CATCCAAAGAGAAGATCGTCTTCCACTTACCGTGAGAAGGCGAGCTCAGCAGTAAGCAAGGGGTAAGCAAAAAAGAAGCACCGCAACAACGCGCGTTCAAAGGTCAATATGACCAACGGTGCAGATGCAACGAGGATAAATCGCTCAGCCCTGGCCGAGGAAATCTGATAGATCGCGGAGCTTATGTCGGTTGCAGAGTTGCAGGGCAGCAGATGTCCGTCGGTTGTTAATCTTGGACAGCACGGCGACAGGCCTGATGCGTGGAGGATTCAATCTGACGTTCTAAAAGAAGGACCGGTTTCCAGACGGGTCCTATCGCATGAGGCCAATGGACCTGAACTCAATTGGAAGGTGAGATGTGATATCAAGCCGTTGGAAGCGCCCGTTGAACGGGGGAAGGGCCTCGAGCAGCTTTTTGTATGGATGTTCGGACGTCCTCCTGCAGCAAAGCTCTGTCTGATTTCAAGCATCCATCCCATCAGGCTTGGCTGAAGCGGTTAGAAGTGGATTTGGAGGGAAGAAAAGGTGGCAAGGCAAGTGTGCTAGTCTGGACTGGATTGGATCGTCGGGTACTGTAACGGGCAGACTCCGCTGGACTGTGGAAGTACGGAGGACTGTACAGACTATAACTATACCTATACCTATCTCTCCCTCCTCTTTACGTGGCTCGCATCATATACTCAAGTACGGAGTATCTCAGTCAGTAGTGACTCCATTGTGCTATGTTCCGTGGTCGAATGCCGTAGATACTACTGATGTAGAATGTATAGTACATATATAGTACCTAGAACACATGGCGATTCTCCAGAAGGATTCCGCGATCCATTGCATCGGAAAATCAGGCCATGGACAAACATACATGCCTGCATGCATACATCCATCCAGCCATACATCCATACAATACACAAGGGCCAAGAAGCGTGTGCACCTGCCATCCCCATAGTGCCTGCCTGTACTGTAGGCCTTTACTACGGATCCGGACCGGAGAGGCAGTCTCCGGTCGGTCGAGTGAGTCGACTCGACTCCTCGTTAGGCGCGCACGACGGCCTGACGACGGCCGTGCAGACTGGGTCTGTCCCCGCATTGATTGGCTCCAACCGTGCAGGATCTGCATGATGCCAAGCAGGCTGTGCAGCCATAGGCAAGGGGAGGGAAAGGCAGGACGTACTCCCTGAAAGAGACGGATGGGAAGGCAACCTTGGACAGGAGAATGGAGTGAGAGAGAGGGAGAGGGAGAGAGGAGAAGAGCGCGTCGATACTGACACTCAATATTACCAGGTGAGCACGGGTTGGTAAACTAGAACCGTCATCGAGATAGGCAGTCGATCATTTCGATGGCGCTCAACCCCAGGAAGGGCTGGACTAAAGCACTTTCTTTGCTCGAGAAGTACGTACTCGTATCATCAGTCAGGTAGTTCACCATCATAAGCTGGATGAGACTTGAGAGACAGCCTGTCAAAATCTCGCAACCTCCGGCCGGCTTGCTACAGAGACAAGAAAGACGGGGTGGTGGTGGTTGTGGTGGTGGTGGTGGGTTTCACTTTCCACACCAACCCAACATCCCTGCCTACAGCTAGTCTAGCTACCTGCTACCTAGCTAGAATAACTTAGAGTCTTGGACTACTCGTAGCTCTCCCCAGGCCAGTGTCGCCTTCCTACTGCAAGGGCCTGCAGGCTTGCAGGACCGTGTCTGTGCCACGGTGTGTAACATATACAATATATATTACATATCACGTACAGGACATACTACCATACATAGAAAGTGGTTCATCAAGGCAATCGAGAATCGTATAGGTCCAAAGGTTTGTGATCCGACCATATGATTGCCGGGTAGCATAGACTTCACCAACATGGTAGCATGGAGGTAGCATGGTAACCAACATACACAGTAACATAGTACAATGGAAACATGGGGACATGGGAAACATGGATCTTCCAGAACCCAGCAGAAGAAGTAAAGAAATTTCGAGGAATGCTGGGTGTAAGGAGAGGGGCCAGTCCCATCCTCCCTTGCGGCGCCAACTATGTAATCGATCCAGAGGTTCTCACAGACCCTACGTACTCTGTATTGCGTGTACTACTAGGGGCGCATTTCGGTCCGCCCGTACTGTACAGTACATAAGATCCCTCAGCCAGTCAGACGGGTTAATTTGATACCACTGATGATGAAGGATTTCCAGCGAGACCAGAGGGTCATCGACAGCTCGCTCCTCAGGCTCCACCTTTCAATCTCTTTGGCGCGTCTGGCGAGCAAACAGTGGACCCCAACCCAACCCAACGCGTTGCCTGTTTGAGTTGGCGGTTATAGATAGACGCTTCAAGTATTTTGGAGATACTCGTAGTCGAGGGATATGGATGGGAGGAATCATACTCACCTGGTTGGGCAGGTCTCGAAAAATGGATAGCCTCCACTTACGTTATACGTGCACTGTATAATCCGATTAGTTCATCCTGTTTGCAATCGGCAATCGGAGAGGAAGGCCTTGTGTGACTCGACGTTCTCTTGTACGACCTGGACTGACCGGGCGTTGGTCAGACCAATACGTCAAGGCGGCAGAGAAGCCACAGAGAATGTTCTACCGGGTGACACCGCAGGCGAAGACTGGGTCGTTTCAGTACAAGATCTGCAGCTGAAGCCTGGAGTCAGCGAGGTAGATGATATTGAGCACTGGGCATGAAGTACAGAATACAGTACCTGGGCGAGTAAGGCGAAAGTAACCAAGTTTACGAGTAATTCATTGGGTTGCATTCTAAACCAGCCACACCTCCTCCCCCTTCCTTCACGTCATCTTGCCGATCATTTTGCAGGCGGTTGACCCTGGGGAAACTCTGTTAGTCTGACTCGCACGCACACCCAGTTTCTTTCTTTCTCTCCTTCGCTACCCTCGCTACCCTCCCTGCCCTCCAGCGGGAACTCAGGCGGTAGGTTAATTACTCGTTAACCTCTCGTCGATCTCTGGATGACCATCATACCCATGTTCGGTGTACAGTAACGTACTGCCGAACCAGACGGAGGACCCGAGAAGTTTAAGTGGCTATCAAAGCAAAAGCCACATCAACTGATCCCCTGATCCGTACTGTGTACAGTAAACTTATCGTACTCAGAGACAGGGTCTATGCAAGATCATCCCACAAAGAATAAAGCCAGCAGCCAAGGATCACAATCCAATCCTTCCGTTCTAGAATGAACATGGAAGCCCTTTTCTCGCCAGATTTGCCACTCACCAAGCCCGGTTGCAGCCTAGCATAGGATCTTTAAAAAATGGCAACTTCCGACGTGACACTGGCACACACTCACACACGTCCTTCTCAAGACATTCCGGAATCCTCCGTTGGGACGCCGGTAGATAAGAGGGGATCTCTCTTTCCAGAACACCAGAAACGGTGGCGGCAAACGTTGAACCAACGCGCGGTTGGTTCCTTATCAGTGTACGGAGTACTGTAGGTGTAGGAATAGTAAGCTTACTAGGCCGGACTGTACACTAAGCCCTACCGGGTCAAGCGGTGGCCGACCTCGGGACCACTTAACCGCAACCGGAACTGTCCTTCCTTTCAAGTGGCGATACTCCGTACAGATTCTCCATACTGGAGTCTAGGTACTATGAGTATATACTTAGTAGTACCCTACCTAGCGGTCATTGCTGCCCTGATCAACTGTTGCACTACATGAAGGTTTACGCAGTGAGATGAGCAATCGTAGACCCGTGTATAAAAAAAAAAAAAAAAAAAAAAAGATCTGTGGTCAGCCCACACACACACAAACCCAAAAACCCGTGTATGAACGATTGTCGGGTGTATCCGCCCACCGAGTTCCTCAAAACGGTTCTGGCCAGATGATGGCATTTTGTCTAGAACTTTTGGGCCAAATTGGCAGCTCATCGCTCGCCTCGGCAATTCTGTGGTTCTTCAATTGCCCTCGCCGAGTTGCGAGTTACAACAGAACCACCTTCTTCGTTTATAGTACTCATAAGAAAGGCAATACGGAGTGTTTGACTCCAGTAAAAAAAAAAATAGGCAGGCCCGCTCGCAGCCACGTGTAGACCTGTAGACCTGTAAGCCCTTCAATCCCATCGCTCCCTGGCTTTGATTGAATGCCACGTTATGAAGGGCCAGCTGTCAGCTCCCAGTGGGCTCATGGGTCTGTTTACCGGTGGACTCTCGGTATACAGACATACAGTACTAGTGTGGATGGGACGTGTATTCCGAGTTGTCACAACACCTAACTTACCCCAATACTCGATCTACCCTCTAGTATACCTTCATCCGAAGCCGAGATTAATCCAGAATTCCCCATCCGGAGTCCCTTGCTTTCGAAGAGGTTAAGAAGAAGAAAAGAAAGGAAGGAACAGATTAATTGCCAAGCTTGAATCGATGACCAACAAGATCATTCCACATGCGGGGAAGCGGTGTTACAAGCTGCATATCATGATCTTGGTCACATTACAACCTAGACTAGGTATACTCCGTCGTAAGTACAGCAGGGTAGTTGTTGTTTGATGGGATACCAAGGACGACGACCATCCTTTGACGTCTGTCTCAAGGTGCGAATCGAGTAGATCCACAATTCCTCCGCCGGTAATTATCACATCCGCTCGCACACCCACCCACCCCCTGGAAGGGAAGGATGATCATGACATACTTCGAAACCAGGATTCGTCATTTAAGCAGTGGGCCGGATTTCTGCAGAACAAGATAGGTAAAGTGGAAGGAGGAGGAGGAGGAGGAGGAGGAGGAGGAGGAGGGGATGAATGATCGGCATACCTACCGAACTATTACTACTACTATATAGTATGCAAGTGAGTTAGGTATACTATACTTTAACTACTAATTACCTTAGTTCTTAGCATTAAGATAAAACTGGTCCGACAGTCACGTCCTGGTGGTATGATGTCTGCCTGTCATGCACACACTGGTCTAGATTCTAGTTTCATTCTGGGAGAAATAATGGGGAAACCATTCCTACATCTCCTACACAATACATAAGTGGACATACATATATACACATATTAACACATATATACATCCATCTACTACTCAAGGGTCCAATGAGACTCTCAGGTTCAGTTTCAGCTGGGAGGAAAAACACCACCCAGTCCACCTAATCGGCGACGTCTTGACTATCTCCTCCCTCCCTGCACTCGAGATGAACAACTTGTTGTTGACGGTGACATTCCTGGACCCTCAATATGCCCTGCACCTCCCTCCCCCACTGAATCATGTTTCAACCATCATCAAGCAAGCCAGTATGCTCCATGCCCAATCAAGTCCCACCTACTGTACTATCTCCATGCGTACAGCCAAAACAGGCAATGCACCAAGTCCACAGGACACTGCAGAGAACAGTCGAATGATCCATCACCACGACATATGCTTCACAGCCAGCTCAATCGGGTCGTTCCCCGTAGCATCCACCCAGTAAAACCCCACTGGCAGTGAAGCAGCAAACATTAACTTGATTTATATTCCTGAGCCTGCGCAAAGTCTCTCCTCCCCGCTCCCCTCACCATCCATCAACTGGTTAGAGAGCTGCTGACTATATAGGGCGAATCTCGGTTCAATGGCTACCTGAACACCTAGAAGAAAGTGACCGGAGATCTCTCTTGTCCTACCAAATGTAATCAAGGTTAGTTTGGACTTGTCTCCCTATCATGCTTTCAGTTGGGCTTCCGCTTACGTACATGTAACGAGGTAGATTCCCTGGGGAGGTGAGTTGATAGCCAAGGAAAGCAGAAGTTCATCATCGAGATAGTCTACCGTGGACTGCACACATCACACCAGCAGAGCAAGACTGACTCAGATCAACCGGACTGGGAGAGTTGATGGGCTTGGCCCCAACGGACGACCCACCATTTTGCCATTGAGGGGCCCCGAGTACCAGGCGCCTTTGTTTATTTCAATCTGCAACTTCCAAGCTACGATTCCTGCATGAGGGATGCCCGGACGAGTAGAATAAACGAGTGACGGATGCTTCGTTATTAGCCCGACCCCACAGACCAGTATTGACTGAGATATGTACCCAACAGGCATACACATAAATGGATTGATAGATTGATGGATAGTAGATAAGTAGATGTAATGCCGCCCCAGGACCGGCAGTAACAACCAACCCTGTCTCCAGGATCGAATAATGCAATGCAAGTACGCTCCCACAAGGATGATAGAAATCAACTCAGCTGAATTTTAGACTGAAGGGTGGTGATAGCAACAATGACAGAGAAAATAAGCACAAGTGAAGAAGAAGACGGCGACGAAATCCAACAAGAAAGAGCTACCGTGAAGAAAGACAAGCACACACAGCCGCGCACGCGCACACGGCTTACACTGGAGTCTGATATTCGGAACCTGAGACTCGAGTCCCCCAGTAGATGAGATAACAACAACAAACTAGGAAATGGAAAAGAAAAAAAAAACAAACAAACAAACAGCCACAGGCCGCCTGACTTGATCGCATGAACTCCTTTGACCGATGATGGGAGGGGACTTTCATCTGTCCTGCACAACATACCCCTCAATGAAGAGAATGCGCACGTGTCAAACACATGGATAGATGCTAAAATGCGGTGTAAAGAAAGCAGAATACTCCGAACCTTGTCGATCACGATGACAAAAAACACACATGTGACTTCCATGCTGAAGATAACCCCGGCCTGCTGCACTCACTTTGTCGCGCCCCCTTTCATATCATTAGAGATTACCACCAATAAACGGCGTCAGGTGAGCTCACACTGTGGCAAAGACGCGGGCGTTGGAAGTCGGGTTGTAATAGATAAACGTGTGTGGGTGTGTGTGTGTGTGTGTGTGTGTGTGTGTGTGTGTGTGTGGTGTGCGTGTGTGTGCATGTGGTCGAGTGAGGAGGGACCGAGAGGTAGACAGCAGTGCGATCTTGTACTCTGATACAAGACAAGACGGAACTCTAGTATTAAAATGGTTCGTGACCGAAGATGCGAGACGAAAGACACAAGAAAGAGAGAGCAAATCACTAATATAGTTCGCCGTTCCGAGCCGTAGCACCATGAAAGAGTGTTGGATATGATGAGGGAAAGGAGGTTGAGAGGGCGTAGGAGAGTCGTTCTATCGGATGGGAGAGGGAATAGCGCCCCCTCCCTCTTCGAGGCGAGAAGACAGAGAACTCTGGCACATGAGACGAAGCGTGAGGTGTGTGAACTGAAGTGCTCAGCAACCCCACCAGAACCCAAGGGATGCAGACATAGGAAAAAAAAAACACATATAGCCCTCTCTCCAAACCCAGGATCGTATTTTCCTCTGCCAGCAGCAGCAACGTCGGCATAGCCGAGCACGTACGATAAAATGGAATGGGAAGGAGGTGTTTGGGCTATTGCTCATGATGATCGCATGCTGCCTGTCATACCTCCCCGGGATATTGAAGACGGTGAATAACGAAAGAGAAAGTCGAGATGCCAACATGACAGGGATATTTCGTAGAAGTACAAAATCGCTCGCGTCCAGCTTTTTTTGAACTCAACCTGGAGGGAGACCGGAAATAAGCATAGGAACCGCGACAAACGGAGAGACGAGGATCGTCACCTACCGCAGCAGAGCGCCTTCATCATTTTCTGCACGAATGTAGGCTGCGGCTCATTGTTCGCCGGACCACCGGGGCCTTGCTGGCTGGTCTTGGCCGGGTTTGTAGGGCTGCCCATCTGTCCAGAAATGTTGGCATTCGAGTTCTGAAACTGCGCTTGAGTCGAAGCCGCTGGTGTGGCATCGAGGCCTCCGCTCTGACGCTTCGGGGCCATTCCTCCAGACACACTTGGCCGATCGCGCGTCTTTCCAGCTCCAGGTTTGGCCGGAGATGGAGGCGGAGGCTGCGCCGCATTTAAACGGTCAGCAGTCACTCCTGGTCGACTACCCCGGAGCTGTTGAGCGTGAAGCTCCCGCGCGGATGAGTTGGGAAGGGTGTTGTTGTGGAGATGCTGCTGGGATGAGTACGATTTGTACTCCCAGCCTCTGCCATTGTTGAGCTTCATCCAGTCATATTCTCCATCTTCGACATCGCCCGTAGTCTTTAGGGCCTGCGTCATCAGGTCCCGGAGGTAGTCGTAGTCAGGGGTATCTTCGAATCCGAGGTTGCGGACATAGGTCAGGTATTTCGTGAACTCTTCTGTTCGTGGTATTAGTAGGATAGGTAAGAAGCTCGCAACAGAGTCATACCTGGGAAGCCATCGCACAAATCCTTGATCGCAGTGGTTTGCTTCTTTTCGCCAATCTTCTCGTACTTTTGCTTGTTGGTGGCAGCCTTGAGACCCTGCCAGGGGAGTCCGCCTCTCAAGAAGTACAAGAAAACATGGCCGAGCGCCTCGAGATCATCACGGCGCGATTGTTCCCGTCCCAGGTGGGTGTTGATGCTCATGTAGCGGGCTGTGCCGGACAGCGATTTCCGCTCACGGTAAGGGATATGCTGCTTGGTCTTGGGATCTCTGTATTGCTTGGCCATTCCGAAATCAACAACGTGGATTACATTAGCGGCCTTGGTGTTGGGGCGACCGATGAGGAAGTTGTCAGGCTTAATATCGCGATAGATCAGGTTCTTCTCGTGGATAGTTTGGACTCGAGACAGCTGTTGGAGGTATTAGAGATATGGAAAACAAAGCGAATAACATGGAGCTCACCATCTGTTTGGCGACCATGACAACAGTCTTGATCGAGAATCGCCGGTTGCAGTGATCAAACAAATCCTCCAAACTAGGGCCAAGCAGGTCAATGACCAAGATATTGTGGAGGCCCTCTTGACCAAAGTAATAGACATTGGGAATGCCAGCTGCGCGGTATTAGCCCCGATTCTGAGCGGACGGACCAAAAATGACTTACGACACCCGACGAGGATCTTGTAGGTCCGATATTCATCACGAAGTTGCGGGGCGTCACTCTTGCGGGGTTCCTGTTGATGATTAGCAACATGGAGGGGAAAGACTTTGTCCAGCTGTGCGCGGCATCACGTACAAATTTTATCGCCACCTGTTGGTTGTTCAGGAGATTTGTTCCCTCGAAGATCACGCCGAACGACCCTTCGCCGATCTTCTTCCCTACACGATAGTGGACACCGACGACATTGGATGATGAGGAGGCCATGGCTGCGGGAGTCGGACAAGTCGGACAATGAAGGCCAGAGACCGCAGACAAGACAGATATCGGAAACGGTGATCAGGGACTGGAAAACTGACTTCACACATGAGGTTAGCCCGAGAAGATTAAACTGGTTGAGATTGAGAAAAGGAGACTATCGGACAACAGGCAGAACAGGCAGCGATACTAGACAATCAGGGGAGAGGGGATGGGGAAAAGGCGAAATTGATGATGGGTCCGGGGAGGTGTCTCACAACAAGCCCGATGTTTACCAAGCTCGACCCTGCATATGAAGATGGGACCCAGGGAACAGGAGTGACAAGATTGGGGGCAGATATCGACTGCGGTAGAAGGCAGACGAAGGGCAGGGGGCAGATACTCGAACGATCGCGAGGACGAGGATTCGGAGGTGGTGCCAAACGGTTGCAGAAGTACCCTCGGAAGAGGGGGGGCAAGAGGGAGGCGGCGAAGCGGCGTCGAGCGAAGTTGGTTTGGTAGTGACGGGAGGGAAGAACCAGGGATTCCGGGGAGGGGAGAAGAAGACGGACACTGGGACTGCAAGGCTGACTGACGGTTTAAAGATGCGTCGGTACGCGAAAGAGGAATATATCCGGCGATGAGACACTTGAGGCGATCAAGATAATCGAATAAAAGAAAGATTCAAGCAAATTCCCTTTAAATTGACCAAGCGCGTGGCAGTAGCAGCAGGGCCCGGATGGCGATGAGATGGATGGCAATCAAGAGGCCGAAGCCGTAGGGAAGGAAAGGATTGGGGGGGTGTGGGAGGATTTGAGAATGGAGGAATTGAGGACGGAGGTGAGCAGTGAACACACCACGATTGGTATGAACCAACTACTGCTACGGCCTGCCTACAGGGGAAAGAAAGGGAAAAAACGAAAGGGAGGAGGAAGGAGAAGGAGGAGAGTAGAAGACAGCGAGGAGAGGAGAAAAACGAGGCGGAGAGAAGAGGAAGTAGGAGAAAGAGGAGGGAGACTAGAGGCTGAGAAGCAAAGCTGTTGCTGTTGGTGCTGCTGCTGCTGCTGCAAATACTGCTACTGCTACTACTCCTGCTGCTGCTGCTGTTACTCCTCCTCCTCGTCCTCCCACTAAGCAGTAAGTTACCAGTGCCAATGCCAGTGTTAGTTAGTGCCAGTACAATCAATGCCAGTGCTCACACGCTCGCGCACTCTTTCAGGCACTCCCTAACCATCAGTGCCCGCTAGGTGCAGTAAGTTACTACCAGTTTCCTATCACCTACTACTACAGAGGCGATGGATTGGATTGGCTCGGTCTGGTCGGTCCTGGTCTGGGTCCCTTTTGGCTCCTTTTCTCTCTCTTCGATCCTTTCTTTTCCTTCCCGTTGATTTTTGGGGGTTTTCTTTTTCTTTTTTGTCTACGGTATGCTTTATCATTTTCTATTCTTCTGATCTATATGATCCTCTTTTACTATGTACTTCTCCCATTTTGTTGATTTGATTGAACCTGATTTGGTACGATTGGGGTAAATCTGTACTCCGACAGACTGATTGGATACTTAAT